GAATCTACTGTCAGCCCGCTGGCCGCCGGCACGCTCCGCTCAGAAATTGCGACGCTGTTGCAAAAGGGCGCCATAGAGAGAGTCCCGCCATCTATGACCGAGTCGGGGTTTTACGGCCGTTATTTTCTGGTTCCCAAGAAAGACGGCGGCCTCAGACCGATTTTAGATCTCAGGTTTTTGAACAAAGTGCTCATGAAGAGACCGTTCAAGATGCTCACTACCAGGAAACTCCTCGCGCAGGTGCGCCAGGGGGACTGGTTCATCTCTCTAGACCTGAAAGACGCCTATTTTCAGATCCAGATAAATCCCCGTCACAGGCCATTCTTACGTTTCGCCTTCGAGGGTCATGTTTATCAATACGCCGTTCTCCCGTTCGGCTTATCCCTGGCGCCCCGTACATTCACGAAGTGCATGGATACGGCGCTCGCCCCCCTGCGGAGCCAGGGGCTGCGCATATTGAATTATCTGGACGACTGGCTGATTTTGGCCCAATCACAGACGGAGCTTCTGTCGCACCGCGCAGTTCTCCTCGACCATCTGAAAACGCTGGGCCTCTCTGTCAACTGGACAAAGAGCTCCCTTCAACCCAGTCAATCGATTTCCTTTCTAGGAATAGATTTGAACTCGGTCACGATGACGGCTCGCCTGTCCACACAGCGCGCGCGCAGTGTTCAGCGACTAGCCGCCTCGTTTCAGATGGGCACCCGCACACCTCTGAAAACTTTTCAGAGGATGCTGGGTTACATGGCCTCAGCCTCCGCTGTGCTTCAGCTGGGCCTTCTGCACATGCGCCCGCTTCAGCTTTGGTTAAACAGCCGTGTACCCCACCGCGCTTGGAACACGGGCCGCCAGCTGATCAGGGTTACGCAGACATGTCTCACGGCGCTGCAGCCATGGACAGTAGCAGAATGGTTTCGGCAGGGCGTCACGATGGGGACCTTTTCCCGCCGAAAAGTTATCTCGACAGATGCATCCAACACGGGTTGGGGTGCAGTCTGCGAGGGCTCACCGGCCTTCGGCCATTGGTCGACACAGGAAAGCCCCTTACACATAAACTGTCTGGAAATGCTTGCGGTCGAGAACGCGCTCTCGCGCTTCCTCCCGCTCATTCGGGGACACCACGTCCTGATCCGTTCGGACAACATGGCTGTGGTCTCCTATCTCAACCGTCAGGGCGGTGTCAGATCCAGGAATCTCTTCCTACTGACACACCGCATTCTAGTTTGGTCTCAGAGCCGCCTGCTCTCGCTCAGAGCGACGCATGTGCCGGGCCATCTGAACGACGGTCCAGACATACTGTCCAGGAACCTCATCTCCACAGGAGAATGGTCCCTGAACACACAAACGGTCCAAATACTGTGGCGGCTATTCGGCAGAGCAGAAGTGGACCTCTTCGCGTCAGAAGAGAACGCTCACTGCCCAATATTTTTTTCAAGGAGCGAGGACGCGCTAGCCCAGGAATGGCCTCGCCGCCCGCTCTATGCATTCCCTCCGTTCGCTCTGCTACCGCAGGTAATTCAGAGGATCAGGGACACACACCACTCGGTGCTCCTCATAGCCCCGCGTTGGGAGAGTCAGAATTGGGTTCCGGAGCTCACTCAGCTGTCACAGACAGCCCCGTGGCCCATCCCAGTCAGAGCAGATCTCCTCTCTCAAGCTCGCGGCACGATCTGGCACCCCCATCCACGGCGCTGGGCGCTACATGCATGGGTGATCAACGACTATTCGTCGATTTGCCAGAGGGAGTAAGAAACACTATCATACAGGCTAGAGCACCTTCCACGAGAAGGCTCTATGCGTCTAAATGGTCTGTGTTCTCAAAATGGTGCACCGACAAACATCTGGACCCACGGTCATGCGAGGTGCCGTCTTTGCTTGTTTTCCTTCAAGAGATGCTGGACAAGGGCAGGTCCCCCTCCACTCTCAAGGTTTACGTGGCAGCAGTCGCGGCGTTCTCTGAACCCCGACGCGCTCAGTCCCTGGGCAAAGACGAGTTAGTCATCCGCTTCTTCAGGGGAGCTAAGAGGATGAACCCTCCGCGCCCCCCTTCGGTTCCTATCTGGGATCTTTCTATAGTTCTCGAAGCTATGAAAGCACCCCCGTTCGAACCGCTCGAGTCTGTGGACCTAAAATACCTCTCGCTCAAAACCGTTTTTCTGACGGCTCTGTCCTCAGTAAAACGCGTGGGGGATCTTCACGCGCTCTCATCCAGCGCCGCGTGTCTTGAGTTTGGACCGAATGATTCTGTTGTCATTCTCAAACCTAGGCATGGCTATGTCCCGAAGGCGATTGGTACCACGTTCAGGGCTCAGATTATTTCCCTATCGGCTCTGCCCTCATCCGATAGTGAGCGCGACGCCAATCTCCTCTGCCCGGTGCGGGCTCTGAGATTGTACACTGCGCGCGCTGCCGCGTTCAGACGCGCTGAGCAGCTTTTCGTGTCGTTTGGGGGGCGCACCAAAGGTCTGGCCGCCTCTAAACAGACACTGTCTAGATGGATAGTGGACGCACGCTATCGCCTCTGCTTACGCATCTAAATGCCTGCCCTGCCTTCTGGGCATCAGGGCGCACTCCACTAGAGGCATGGCCTCATCGTGGGCATGGTCCTGTGGAATTTCCATTCATGACATTTGTGTGGCCGCGGGATGGGCCTCCCCGTCCACTTTTGTCAGATTTTACAACTTGGAAGTTCCCGCCTTGCAGGCAAAATTACTAGCTGTCTAACGATCAGCTCCCTAAGAAGCTGCATTACTGGGAGTCCCTCACACAACCGGTTCGCCCCTTGTGCTCTCCTTAGATGCTTATGTATACACTTCATGTGCCCGCTCTGCCGGCCTCATATTACATTCACTCCACGTTAAAAATCCCCCGGTATCACCCTGGGATTCATGAGTGGATTCATAGCGCGCACGGCGTTGACCAGGTGTTCCCGCAGCGTAAGCTAGCTTACGCAATACGAGAGAACCTCTCGTAAGAGAACGAATCGGTTACCTAACGTAACCTCGGTTCTCTCTAGAAGAGGGAACGAGTATTGCGTTCCCGGCCGTGCTTGCGCTACTAGCGTTTCGCTTCACGCTGAAATGAATCAACATATAAGCCTGGGAGAGACTGTTATATACACCATAGCCACGCCCATTCTGGCGGGCCATAATGCAATGAGCGCGCGGGCGCCTCTCATTGGCAGCGGGTTCAGCCCCGCTCTCCCATAGGCTTAAGCAGTTCTCTCTGAGCGAACCAATGAGCTGCTAGCTAGCCTGCTCTAGGTCTGCCGCAGAGGAACTGCGTTGTCAATGGATACAAATTATGAAAAAAATTTTTGGCTTCAAACTCTCAGCAAAGATGAATCTTTCCCGCAGCGTAAGCTAGCTTACGCAATACTCGTTCCCTCTTCTAGAGAGAACCGAGGTTACGTTAGGTAACCGATTCGTTTTATTGTTCTGTTTTTTGTTTTGTTTTGTTTTTTACACCTTCCATAATAAGCAGGCAGTAAGCGATTTGCTCCATAGGAAGCACTATCACAAACTCGAAATGCCTAGTTTATGGTTGGTCAAATCGATCAAACCGAGAAACCACAAGGAACTTTTATCCTTTACCAAAAGATGTCACCTTTAGTGGCGTTTTGAGTCTGCTTATACTGAAATTAGTACAGATACCTCCTTACCTTTTGGTTTGTTTTTTTCAGGGAAGAAGCAATTTTACCGCATTGCAATGATCATTTGATAATCTGCCACGCCCACTGGAGCCTCATCAAACATGCGCTGAACACCTCTGAAGTAAACTAACCCTGGCTGGAACAGAACCTGCTCCGGAACAGTTATGTTCAGAGAGTAAGTTGCTATGGCTACTTACACCCTGAAAGTTACCTCCATTTTTGGTACCGAAAGTTGAGGTTATCCACTTTCTGGGTGGCCTTTTTTGTGTGTAAATAAACTAAGTCTGCTGTAATTGAGATCCGTGCTCCTCTTCCCTTGTCTGCACTGACAAGATGTGAACCTGTTTTTTTTTTTTGCTTTGTTTTTTGTGAGATTTAAAGTGTAAAGTCCAGGGGTCAGAAAGTAAAAGTCCTGCCATATGTTTATTCCACCCATGAACTCAGCCAGCTGATTTCACTTTCTATCTCCTGGCTGAAAAACTGTGCTAATTAGCAAATCCAGGTGATTGAAACAAAATACTGAGGAGGACTTTTACTTTCTGAATCTGGACTTTACACCTCTGGATTTACTCTCTTTAATCATTCTTCTAATCATTTTATTGATTTACAAAAACAATCTATGCGTTTGTGTACCTTATACAATCAAGGTGAAATGTATTTAATTCATAGCAACATTTGTGGTGAATATTTTTTAAACAACAATAATAATATAAATAATTCATAGCTGCCAACTCTCACGCATTGGCCGTGAGACACCCGCATTTGATTGGTTTCACACGCTCACACGCCACACTCCCGATTTCTCACGCTGAAGTGTCAACCCGGTCGGTCAAATGCCTGGAAGATGAGTTTATCTATATATCTACCTGTTGAGCCACTCGTGATCGACTAGTTATACCGCAAATTCGTTAAAAATCTCCCGTTATCTAGAGCGAGCGTGCATGCGAGACAGAGATTGTGCTCCAAACCGCGTAGAGCGAGCGAGAGACCTTGCGCGAGCGAGACCCCCCCCCCCCCCCCGTCAACAAATCTCACTCGTCTCCCACCCCCCCCCAACAAATCTCACGCCGAGCAAAACTCAAAAGTTGGCAAATAGCTTATTTTTTTCCTGCATTAGACTATGCTACCATGAGTAGGCCTACCATCATAATTCAGTCAACGCCCCAGATGTTATGCGTCGACCATACGCAGATAGGATGCGCTAGATAAGCGTCTGCGTTCTCGTAGCGCAGTGACAAAGCTCTTGAAGACTCACGTCTACTCTCCACTAAATGTAGTCATCCAGGGGAGCGAGCAGAATCACTCCGAATGTAACGTTAGATAACTCATTTATGTGTGTGGCTTCAAATTGAACGGCGTTTCCTCCATCGCCTCAAATGGCTGTTGCGTTTTGCGTTAAGATCAGTATTCTGATGGGGCTGCTGTTCGGACAGGGTAAGCCAGCTCGATTGTACACTGAAGAGGATCCAGTGGTTATACTGAGCAGCGACAGCCTGAAGCAGTCCGTGTTCAACTCCTCCAGCGCCTGGCTGCTTCAGTTCTACTCGTCGTGGTGTGGCCACTGTATCCAGTACTCTCCTACATGGAAGGCACTGGCCGGCGACGTGAAGGGTAGGTGGATTTTGATCCTCTTCCTGTTTATGCACTCTTTTGAAGAAGAACACAGTATCGAGGCATTCACTTCAGGCACACATCGTGTTTACAAGAAATAGTATTGAGTTAATTTGGGATGATCACCTTAACCTTACTGTGGAGGTGGTACCATATGGTACTACCATGGTACTTTTTATATTCCATGGCACTGTGATTGATAAACATAATGAATTATCCAAGAATACCATGGTACTTCAAGGTAGCGTTACTGTCATTAGACGTGTTATTGGCATAATGGATGTCCAAACATGGAACTGCCACGATTCATTTCCAGAATCAGAGTATGACATAGTAGGCTACTTGTTAGTTTATTTTATTTTTCTCCTGATAGTGCTTTTTGTCTGGTTCTACCATAATTATCCCATGATGATACTATTTCCTTGTACATTGTCACGTGTGTTTTAATGAGGCTTACAGTGTTTTTGTGCATTTGTCCTTAAGTACACCCATGGAAAGTCGATTATCCCTGGTTTGTTGATACACCTGCATAAATCCACAGGTGTTGCTGACTGTTATCTGTGTTTATCCCTGCGACCAAAGCCTTAAGTTTAAACCACAACACACACTCTTATTAGAAATGCTACATGTCTCCAGGTAGTGTAGCCTACAATATATTTACTTTAAGTGATGTTTTAATATTCAACAATATTATTGATCTGCCTGCATTGACACCATTATATGAGAATTGAACTGAGCTTGACGATGATATCACTGTTTTCTCCAGAGTGGCTATATACATATGTAAATTAACTAAATTAATAACTTTTTTACAACAAAAATGAATCATCACTGAACTTGAGCTGGACTATGACGCTATTTTCTTCTAGAACTGCTGTACAGGAGAACAAACTTTGTTGCATTATTTTCCTGTTATCACTGTAAAGGTGCTTTGAAATATTGTAAAATGCGCTATATAAATACAGGTGATTTGACTTAAAGTCACCATTAAATCATTTGACCATTCTTAGTTTTTATGGAATATTGCAGATTTTATTATAAATTATGTGTCACAATGCACATCATATTCTTAAATTCATGTTCCCTAATCTTTAATCCAAGTAACTTCTCATCCCTCTTGCAACAACATCTCTTCTCTGATCACGATCCAAAGAGCCAGTCAATTCCTGATGGACAAAAATTACATCTCGCCCTACAATTTTTCTTGTTCGAGAAGTCGTTTCACTCCGCTATACGTCACAATAGAGAAGAAAACACATTTTGCAACTTCCGTTTCATGCCGACTTTTTTTTTTTTTATCACTGAAAGGGAATCCTGCAAGCACTTTACTATTTAAATTAGTTCAATGATATTGTATGTTATAGGGACCAATAAATGCAAGTGCAGATCATCCCACTGACTGTTCTGATCAAATAAAATAAACAGTTTTTACTAAACAATTAAACAGGTTTTGGGCATGTTCTTTATGACAGTTTTTCTAAAATAAAAAACAAAATAAAATAAAATGAAATCTAGGATTAAATTGCCTTTCTTACAGGATTGCAGTGTATCGCAATATATCATATTGTAACCCCTGTATCAATACGTATTTTATCGCCAGCGACATCTTGGCGATACACAGCCCTTGGAAGTTGAAGAACGCATCTTTTAGAAGTTTGAATATTCCAGTGCTTGTTCATTGTAACTGCATAAAAAGAGTGATGATTATATTTATTCAGTTTTCCCCCATTAGTGTTAGATGAAAGACTATACAGGTTATTCACAATATTGTAAATACTGCAGGTAGAAAGCTATACAGGTTTTATGACATGAGGGGTGAGTAAGTGATGACAGAATTTTCAATTTCAGGTGAACTAATCTTTTTATTAGACTTGCAGTATAACAGATGCAAGTACAAATTCTCTCAATGTGAGATCATACAACTCTGCATGATAATTATACAATAATTAAAAATAAATAATCAAAAGTTGGAAACGTGTTTAAAAAGTCGAATCACAAATTTTGTGTTTGTGCAGGAACTGCAGGTGGTTTGTGAGTTTATCAAAAGCTAAGCTAATCATTAGTTAAATCATACAAATTTAAAATAAAATAAAATATAACATTACCAAAATTATGCATATTACAATATGCATGTCATGATGTGACCAGTAACCAATATCAGAGAACATGTGATGTGGGGTACTTCAAGCGCAAAATGTCAACAAATGTCAACAACCCTGATACACAAATAACATTAGCGGTTTTAAGGTTCTGATATTTTGCGTGATCTAAAAACAAGAACTCAACACATGTCAACACTAGCAAAAGTTTCCTGCTGATGAATTTGATTTTAGAGGTTTAGACCACACAGACCCAAATATTTGAGTGCTTTCTCTTAGCAGCTCTGGTTGGATGAATGAATGAATGAATGAGACATTTATATAGCGCTTTCATATCTACTGTACACCCAAAGCACTTTACCATCATATCAGGGATTGTGGATGGGGAGAGCCCACCTCTATCAAGCTGTGGCTTCCAAAGCCATTCTGAATAAATAATGAGTTTAGCATTAACTCTCTTCAGACCTCAGAGCTACAAGACCAGACTAATTGCTAATAAAAATGCTTAGACAGTAGCGCTACGTGTCTGCCGTGCTGTCTGAGCTAAAGGACTGATGGTGTTCTGGAGGAAGCCACTTGTGTTGGGTGCCGTGAAGGATGATGGCAATGAAAAGGTCACTGTAGACTGACACATTCAATCTAAATGAGGGCAAATGCATTTAACACCTTGTCGCAAAGATGCTAAAAGTGGTAGAGCTGTGAAATTAGGGAGGGTCAGTTCTGTCTCACAGCTTCAGCAGTCTCTCTCACTGGTGTTTGCTGCTTTATGACCCCCATGGTAAAGGGATTGTGACCTACAGTACAGTGACGTTCAAAGTCTGAGATCAGTAGTGAGTTTCAGTTTTCAGGTGGTTCCATTTTTCATTTCAACCATTTTTATTGCTACAAACTCTATTTAGTTTATATATATATATATATATACACTCACCTAAAGGATTATTAGGAACACCATACTAATACTGTGTTTGACCCCCTTTCACCTTCAGAACTGCCTTAATTCTACGTGGCATTGATTCAACAAGGTGCTGAAAGCATTCTTTAGAAATGTTGGCCCATATTGATAGGATAGCATCTTGCAGTTGATGGAGATTTGTGGGATGCACATCCAGGGCACGAAGCTCCCGTTCCACCACATCCCAAAGATGCTCTATTGGGTTGAGATCTGGTGACTGTGGGGGCCATTTTAGTACAGTGAACTCATTGTCATGTTCAAGAAACCAATTTGAAATGATTCGAGCTTTGTGACATGGTTCATTATCCTGCTGGAAGTAGCCATCAGAGGATGGGTACATGGTGGCCATAAAGGGAATGACATGATCAGAAACAATGCTCAGGTAGGCCGTGGCATTTAAACGATGCCCAATTGGCACTAAGGGGCCTAAAGTGTGCCAAGAAAACATCCCCCACACCATTACACCACCACCAGCAGCCTGCACAGTGGTAACAAGGCATGATGGATCCATGTTCTCATTCTGTTTACGCCAAATTCTGACTCTACCATCTGAATGTCTCAACAGAAATCGAGACTCATCAGACCAGGCAACATTTTTCCAGTCTTCAACTGTCCAATTTTGGTGAGCTCTTGCAAATTGTAGCCTCTTTTTCCTATTTGTAGTGGAGATGAGTGGTACCCAGTGGGGTCTTTCACTGTTGTAGCCCATCCGCCTCAAGGTTGTACGTGTTGTGGCTTCACAAATGCTTTGCTGCATACCTCGGTTGTAATGAGTTGTTATTTCAGTCAAAGTTGCTCTTCTATCAGCTTGAATCAGTCGGCCCATTCTCCTCTGACCTCTAGCATCAACAAGGCATCTTCGCCCACAGGACTGCCGCATACTGGATGTTTTCCCCTTTTCACACCATTCTATGTAAACCCTAGAAATGGTTGTGCGTGAAAATCCCAGTAACTGAGCAGATTGTGAAATACTCAGACCGGCCCGTCTGGCACCAACAATCATGCCACGCTCAAAATTACTTAAATCACTTTCTTTCCCATTCTGACATTCAGTTTGGAGTTCAGGAGATTGTCTTGACCAGGACCACATCCCTAAATGCATTGAAGCAACTGCCATGTGATTGGTTGATTAGATAATTGCATTAATGAGAAATTGAACAGGTGTTCCTAATAATCCTTTAGGTGAGTGTGTGTGTGTATATATATATATATATATATATATATATTAGTCCAGGGAAGCTACAATATGAATCTTAAAGAAATTGTTCACCCAAAAATTAATATTCTGCCAAAATGTACCCACCCTCAATTCATTCCGAACTTGTGTGACTATATGATTGTTTTTCTGTGAAACACAAATAATATATTTAGAAGAATGTTGGTAACTTAACTGTTTTGGTGACTTTTTTTTTTTTTTTCACTTTATGGACAAAATAAATAGTCCACCAAGACATTTTTCAAAATACTTAAAAGATATTGACAGAATATTTATTTTTGGCTGTACTATCCCTTGATATTTTTCTTTCTTTTATAACTTTTCTTTGTTTTTTTATTATTATTATTATTTAAATCCTCAAAGCTTTTATTTTGAATGTTTGAATGGGATTTTAAATCCCAGATCTTCAATTGGCAATGGGCATGCAGTTTTTTTGGACTATGGAACTGAATGATTACCTTATTCTTGTACTAAAATAACGTATGTGTTGGTAATTATTTTAAGAATTAGTACTGTTGACTCACAAATGTATGTGCCATTATCATATCATACGGTATATATGTTCTGGAATGCCATGCCTTGCTTTTCTTCTTCAGTGGACTGGAAAAAAGGACTAGATGATTGTGGCCTTTGGATGACTAAAGTTGCGAGGACAAGTCTTCTGTTGAATGCTTTCAGTCTGCCTTTGTTGGCACAAGCTGTCGGCTGGGTGGCTCGCGAGTGGCCGCCTACCAGCTGTTACCTTCACAATGAGGGTCAGATGTCCCTATTGTGAGGACGCAACCCCGCTGTGCATTCCCCCACACATCCTAAAACCCACAGTGTCCCACCCTCAGGTGAAGAATAGAGGGATAAAGTGCCCCCGGCTGTCCCTCCTCTCTCTCTCATCCAAACATTTTTAAATAAGCTGCTTTCATCACACCCCATCTGTTTCATTTTTCGGAGACCGGTTTTACAGCTGTTCACAGAGTTTATGAGTTTGCATTGAAAACAAACCACCTGGCTCCAGAAACTCTTTATGCAGTGTATAAAATCTTGCTTTGAGGGAGAAAGACTACTTCGTCTCACAAAGTTTTAGTACGTTTCTGATGTCAGATTTCAAAACCATGTTATGCATCAAATGATTTTAGGCTTTCAGCCAGAGTTCCTGTCCTCTTAGGCTATCTGGCAGCTGTTCTGGGTGCCAATGCCGATAAGACATTTTAGCGTGGACGTCAGCATGTGTTATACAACACAAATGAAGTAATATAACTAGGCTCAAGTCTCTAAAAACGCTCATTTACCTCTTTGCATTGCGGCTGTATGCCTTTATTTCTGTTCTTTTTAGACATTTCATTCAAGTATTGATATTACACATCACTTATATTAATTGGTCACACTTTATATTGTCTCTTTAACTACTACATACTTGCATAAAACATTTTCATATTGTGTTAATGTTGTATTGCAAAACACTTTTGATGCTATTGAGGTGGGATACAGGTAAGGTTAGGGGCATGTTTCATGGTATGGTTAAGTTTAAGGATGGGTTAAAGTGTAATTTTAAAAAGGAAGCATCAACAGTGCAATTATAGATGTAATTACAGAAATTAATTTGTAGCTGTAATTACTTGCAGGTATTTTTTTAAATATAAGTACAATGTAAAAACATATATGTACACAATAAGTGCATTGTATCAAATGGTTAATTTAAATGTTAGTAAATATTAAAGACATTTAATATAAAATAGTAATATTTGATTTTGTTGATAGTTCACCCAAAAATTAAAATTCTGTCATTATTTACTTACTCTCATGTCTTTCCAGCCTCCTAAATCATTTGTTCATCCTCAAACACAATTGAAGATATTTCTGTCCCTCCATCGAAAGTCCTTTTCACCAAAACTTTGACGCTTCAAAAAGTTAATTAGGTGAACTTTGTGATGAGTTTATATGATGAACAAATTTAATTTATGCTTTTATTCACATAAAGTGATTGGGTATCTTTAGAAGATTTGGATTAAACCGCTCGAATCATATGGATTACTTTTATGATCTCTTTATGAACTTGTAGTCAGTTTTGGTGGAGGGACAGTCTTATGGGTTTGGAACAACATGAGGGTGAGCTAGTAATTGACGACTAAATGTTTGGGTTAACATGTTTGACATGTCTCTCTACTCTCATAGACTGGGCACAGGCCATTCGTATTGGAGTTCTGGATTGTGCTCATGAGAAGAACTTCGACATCTGTAAGGAGTTCGGAATCCACTTCTACCCCACCTTCAGAGTATGTTTGTGCAAATTGTGCTATTTATTCGTTCAACAGATTAAACCTATATACAATAAGTCTTAACTAGGGGCTTGGGATATTGCCAAAATAATTTTAAAGGCCCCCTGAAATCAAAATGTAAGTTTTTTAGTATGAATATCTTAGGGTTATGAATAAGCTGCTGTGTTCCAAAAGAATGAAAGCATTCAAAACTTAGCGCTTGGATTCGGTTCCATGGTGCTGTCAAGTACGACTTTCAGTCTGTGAGGCTATTGGCTATTTGAAAAGGGGGAAGGGCCATTCAATATGTCCTGCCTTGGCTTCCTGTTTCAGTGGAAATGACGTCAACACATCATACAAAGCTGATTTGTTTAAAAACACTGACTCATTCAGTTAAGTGTGTTGCTCAGAGATGCACAGCAGTTCTGATGTGATTTCGTTGGCGAAAGAGACGATACTGACAATATTGTGTCAGAAATCTAACTCACAATATTAACGTCTTGTGTGAGTCTCTAATGTCAGCTGGCACATCATTAAAACAACAATTGTCATATTATTGTAGACCAGGCAGGGGTATTCCATTAAAGTTCCAAGAGGTTCGGTCTCTATATTTCCTTCCCAGTTGTAGATCCGGATAATACTTTTTTGGAACAGTAATACTTTTACAGTGATGTCTAAGAATTTTTACCAACAATTTCCCCAAACAAGTAAATATTTCACCCAACTGGATATGAATATAAAAAGGTTAGATCAGATGTTTTAACAGGCTATTTTTTATTTTACTTTAAGACACATTTGTGTATGCCACATAAGGCCATGGGACTGAGAAAACATACTGGGTTTACCTCTTAAGAAAAGAATAGACCATTTTTATATTTTGCTCAAAGCAATAAACTACTATAACAAACAATGTACATAATCTAATAATCGAAAAACTCATCATGAGGACAAAACAAAGTTAACTAGTAATTTGAAAGTTGTTGTTGTTGTTTTTTGCCTTGCCATCTCTAAATAATTTGCCAAATTCTAACATCGTTTATTAGGAAATGCTCTTTATATGCTGATTAATAATGCTAAATGTATGAAAAAAGACGCCACACATTAACTTGTCTCAAACCTGGTTTTGTTAAACGGTCAGAGTCATCTGTATGGCAGATTACAATAATTGTATTTGCTGCATTCTCATTTTCTACTACTTTTGTTAAAATAACTGCGTCGTCTGCAGCTCTTAGCGAGGGAGCAAGAGAAGCAACGCACACGAAGCGGAAAGGGCTTGAATGAAGCACTTTTGGCTCTAGATAAAAATATTATAGATACAGCTCCTAAAGATCATTACCATAAACAACCATGCGGGTGGAACCAAGGTCCGCCATTTGAATTACACTGTTGTAGACGATACTACACACACCTTGTCCTAACAAAGCTTGGTTTTTATTTTGTGGCATTATGCTGGGTAGCTCCGCCCATATTCAAATCTCATTGGCTCAAACTTCTGCTATACATACTAGCTATACATTCAACATAAGCATCTCATAAATTAAGGATGTTACAATAGTCTCCTAGTCAACTAGTTTTCTAACAAAATACTAGTAAATTAGAGAGGGTGATTCAATTATTTGAATTTCGATTATTTATTTTTTATTTGAAATGAGATGGTCATTTTATTAGCGTGCTGACAGATTCTGTGCTTGCTGTCAGACAGTTAGCAGAGTACAAAACCTTTCAGAACTGTTGCATCTTTATATTTGTTTATTGCATGCAGCATGTTTCTTATACTGTTTATTCAATGTCCTGTCGCAATCTCTGCATTTTAAAATGATGTGTCAAGTTAACTTGACGAAACAAGATTCCTGCCTTCTGTTCTATTTTGTTGTGCACTATAACATGTCTTATCTATGTCTGATCGAGATCAGGTAAACCTGAAACCAGGGTAACCATACTGTAGACAAAATGTATTATTACACCCTTATCAAATTTCCAAATTGCCTGGAAACATGCCTGGTTTTGAAATGGACACACATAGGACATGTTGTTTTTGTACTTTTCATTTAGGAATAATGTCTTTTTCTTTTTTAGTATTTTAAGGCACATGATACCACAAATGATTTGGGGAAGACATATCGAGGTGGGTTTCATCATTTTTGCTCTGATTAGAATTGAAATGATTGTTTCAGTGATTATTATTATTGTGGATTTAACTTGTATTTCTGATTTTGTTTTATTTGTGTACTGTTAGGGGCTGACAGAGAGCTACAGACAGTGAGGCAGTTGATGGTGAACTTCCTCCAAAACCACACTAGACAAAACTGGCCTGTGGGCTGCCCTCCCCTTGACCCTGACAGGTGCCCAAATCTACAATATTACCTCCTATTTTTTACATGTTCAATTCCATCTGTGTTTAATATTTAACATGTTCTGCCTCCAGCTTTAAGAGGGACATTTAGAGATGTTTGTTTAGTTTCTAGACATAAATGGAATGTGTCTCAGTTTCCTATTTAAAAACATTGAGTTTGTCATCTGTTGCAGGTCTGAGGACATCCTGTCCTTAATGGGGAAGAAAACGGAGCTCTATACTGCAGTTATAGTTGAGGACGGAGACTCTTATATAGGGAGAGAGGTATGAAAAACAGATAAAACAAAACGTTTTTGTAGGAAAGCAGTATAAGATCAGATGTCATCATTTACTCACCCATATGTCATTCCATACTAATGTAATTGTTATTGGCTGATATTACTTTTAATCAGCTGATTGATTTTCATTTCTATATATATATATATATATATATATATATATATATATAGTAGGGCCGGGACTTTAACGCGTTAATTAAGATTAATTAATTACACACTTTAACGCGTTAATTAATTACACAAAAAATTATTTTTAATCGCACTTGTTTTTGCACCGCGGAACGTTTCTCACTGGATGAGTTTCGGCGGACCGATTATACTGGCGCACCAACTAGCATTCATGACGAAGAAGCTGACGAGATCGCTTTGGTTGACCGGTGGCTGGGAAATGTTGTTACAAAAAACGAACGGATGGACGCGTCGATAAGAGCATGGTTGTGTGCAAGCTATGCAACAAGGAATTCGCTATTGCTATTAGTGTAGTGTAGCAATATGCTATTTTGTTGCAATATGCTATTGCTACACTTAATGGCAAAAATTGCACTGGTCTGCTGGACTTGGTTGAACAAAAATAAACAATATTTTGTTGCTTAAGCTTATGTATGCAGTCATTATTCAATGGTATACTAAAAATCCATGTGAAAAAAATTACTTCTCACAGTTCTCAGGTCAAATATTTATGCGATTAAAATGCGATTAATTTCGATTAATTAATTACAAAGCCTCTAATTAATTAGATTAATTTTTTTAATCGAGTCCCGGCCCTAATATATAGTTTTTTTTTTTGTAGCAGGCATAAAATCATACATAAGAATTATACTGCGGCACTGGAGGGCAAATTATTGTTGTAAGCATTCACGGCTTCAGATGACACATGCCTTAATTCAGATGTGTATGCCATTTTGCTTTATTGACACTAAATGTGTATGAACTGTAATGTGCCCATTCCTGGGTAAGTATTGTGTTTCAGCTGAATCGCTGTACAGTATTATAACATTTTACAGCTATAGAGTCTTTGAAACATTGAACCCTCATTCTGTTTACTGGTTGTAAGTGGTGTGACTGATGTTTTTTAGTGACAAAAGAACTCTTTATGCCTTTCTTTTGTAGGTTCTAATAAATTGTGATCCAGTGTTTCCCACAGGATTTTGTGAGACTATGGGGGCTCACATAAAAAGAAAATTTTGTACATTTTAAAGTTAAATTCCTCAATCTGGTGCACTTTAAGAGTTCAGCTCCTACCCATGTTCAGTGTACAAACTGAATGAAGAAAAAAGTCTGTGCATTGACTTGTACCTAAACTTTAACGGAGACTCTATCTTCTTTTTAGTTGTGATATATTGTCTGTCCACATTACATTCACACTGATGCTTTAGGAAGCCGAACAATTATAATATAATAGTAATAATTAGTATTATTATTATTATTCGTATGACAGTAATGGCCTATATATTATAATATCTGTGAAAACAGGTTTACAATCGCGTCTCATAAATCTAGTGAAACGCTGCAATCAACTGTCCACAAAAATGTTGGAAATTATGCAAATATGACAAATAATGCGTAACTTTTATTTAATTCAATCAAAGTCTTTTGTGATTTGATATGGGCACAAAGCCATATCACGCCTTCGATTTTATTTCATTTGACAGATACTTTGCAAAAGCAATGGTGCAAAAAAACAGAGACCTTTTATGGTATTATGAGAAGTTTTCAAATATTTTGTGAAATTGTGGCGGCACAGAGAAGACTATGGTGGGCCGCCAGAGTCTAGGTAGTTAATGGGAAACACTGGATGATCTTTCACAATGTAAATTCTTATTTGTAATTTTACAGTGTGGTGCAATAGGGTTTAAAACTGGTACAAATGAGGCAAGGGGCGATTTAAAAAAATAAATACGAATATGATGATTGTTGTTAGCCTCCAGTTCCCATGATCTGTGCACCATTATTTGAAATCAGTATGATTTTGTGTGAGAAACAAATAGAAATTTAAGTTATTTGTTATTCAGAAGGTTAATTTTGCCTTTCGTCCTGTCGATTTCTTCCATGTTATCAAAAGTGGCACATTAATTATACACAACAGAACCAAAGTCTTGTGTAGCTCAAATGGTAGAGCATGCCACTATCAAATTCCCAGATTAATGTTCATGAATGGACCAGATCAGACCTAGTGGAAAGCAAGATTTTTAGTGAAAAATCACAGAAATGTAGATTGTTCCCTTTCTCTCAGTCATGTTCGACGTTAGGTCATTACTGACATTAGGGGTCTTACTTCGGAGCCCCAATCACCTCAGAGTTTTACAAAATTGGCCAGTGGAATTTTCATGCCTAGCCACTCCCCGGACATACGGGTATGATGGTGGCCTGCACACACTCATTAGATTTTTGCTTCAGAACTGAGTGGTTGCTGACAGCGATTACTCTTCCAATCGCTCAAAGAGCTTAAAAAGAGGAGAATCTCTCTTGCTGGACACCCTATGGCATTAAGCGCAGTGATTTCCCCCTTTAAGAGACACTATCGAGGACTTTGCCCCGCACTCCAAAAGCAGACGGAGGCCATTAAACACATCATACGGACATGATTCCACCGCCGCCGAGGCCTGGCCCCCAGTCTGCTGGTCTCCGAGTGCGTCCCACTGTGGCTTCTACACCTGTTCTGGCACAGCCAGAAGCAACAACTTGGCCGTAACGTTGAGCCCCCCGCAGGAAGGTGACAGAGCCCGTTCCTCAGGCTGCCGCTAAATTGCCTTCAGTTGCTCTGAACCAGGAGGTGGTGATCGCACCACTCCTCTCCCCCATGGCCGGGAGGAGACTCTTTTGTTTAGTTTAACCCTAATGCACTTAGTTTTTAATATAAACTCAGGATGTTGGGGTCCAGAGACCCCAGGCAATAAAATGTGATTTTGTAACATAATAATGTAAATTTTTAACTAATATAATATCACTCACTTTGTTGTTTTCTCTACATGTGTGCAGTGTTTTGGGGATTAAAGTTATTTTTTTTTTTTTTACATTTACCGGTATATAAATAAATGTAAAAAAATATATTTTTCATTGTCATTCATGGAGATAACATGGACAATATGACATGGTTTAATTGAAGATTGCTGCCATCAACTGGAGAACAAACACTTTTTATTTATTTATTAAAATAACATGTAATTTCAACTTCAGCCGGCTTCAGATGGCTTCAAAGCATTACACACTGGCTCATTTACCATTTCCTCATGGGTATACATCTTTTCACTTTTTTTCAAGTGTTATTTATGTTCAGACATTATAAAATAATTTCTATAACAATAAAAAATGACTTTTAAAATTTAGCTTTTATTTGTACTGAAGTATCATTGCCACTTCACTTCTATGTATTTGTGTTCTGTCTTGTGGCTGATTATGTTTTTTTTTTATTTGACAAATATAAAAAAGTATATATTTTTATATATATTTCTCCTTTATTTAATGTATTTATATTAATTAAAAAAATACCTTAAATCCCCCCCCAACACTGCAAAAATGTACAAATGTAAAGTAAAAACATTACTAAAGTAAGAGATAATACAAATTATATGTTACAAGATCACATTTTATTTGTCTGGGGTCTCTAGAGACCCCGAAACCCTGAGTGTGACTTTTTTTCATGCTAACATACAACCAGATATCATTCCAATAAATGTTTTTTGTAGAGCTAGCAAGTGTCAAGTTTCAGTTCCAGCAAACGTCATTTGGGGTAAAAATAAAAGACCCTGAATAGCGCCTAAAGGTTAAAAGAGTTCATTTCCATTGACCGGCGGTACCCAAACTTTCAATTTCCTCAGTCTCCTCCTCGCTGCCCCTCCGCGGGTATGTCAGTTGTCCCACTGGTGCCGCTCACACGGAGACTGGCTGCCTGGCTAGTGCTTCCCAGACCATCCAGCTGGTTCATTTGGACAATCAGACTCCGCTATGCAATCCAGTTCGCCAGGCGTCCCACAGGTTCAGCAGCGTCCTATTTACCTCTGTGGCAGGCAAAGATGCCCTTGTCCTGTGAGCGAAGATTGCGGTCCTGTAGAGCCTGTCCCTCCAGCCAAGCTGAAGTCAGGGTTTTACAGCCCTTCATCGTACCCAAGAAAGCTGGTGGGTTAAAGCTATTCTTGGATCTGTGAGTCTTGAATTGTATCCTTCACAAGCTCCCGTTCAAGATGCTAACACAGAAGCGCATGCACACATGCGTTCACCCCCAAGATTGGTTTGCAGTGATCGTCCTGAAGGACACATACTTCCATGTCTCGATTTTGCCTCGACACAGACGTTACTTCAATTTGCTTTCGAGGGTTTAGGCATACCAGTACAAGGTCCTCCCCTTTGGGCTGTCCCTGTCTCCCCACATCTTTACCAAAGTTGCGGAGGCTGCCCTTGTCCTGTTAAGGGAAGTGGGCATTCGCATTCTTAATCATCTCAACAGCTAGCTCATTCAAGCTCACTCTTAAGATTCGTTGTGCAAACATAGGAACCTGGTGCTCAGGACCCAGTGCCCCCTTGTGCAGAACATCTCTTTTCTCAGAATGGAGTAGGACTCGGTCAATATGACGGCGCGTCTCACGAATGAGCGCGCATAGTCAGTGCTGAACTGCCTGAATACGTTCAGGGGGAAGACAGCGGTTCCGCTGAAACAATTTAGAGGCTCCTGGGGCATATGGCATCCACAGCCGCAGTAACGCCGCTTGGATTGATGCAAATGAGACCGTTCAGCGCTAGCTGCACAGCCAAGTCCCGAGATGTGCATGAAGCCACTGCACACATCGTGTGACCATCACACCAATCTGTCACTGAACTTTCAGCCCTTGGTGTCGGACCTTGCTTTTCTATGGGCGGAAGTGCCCTTAGAACAAGTGTCCAAGCACGTTGTTGTTACAACGAATGCCTCCAGAATTGGCTGGGGGGCTGTATGCAGCGGGCACACAGCCCGGGCTCCTGGACAGGACCTCAACTGCAGTGGCATATCAATTGCTTGGAGTTGCTGGCAGTGCTGCTCGCCCTGCTCCGGTTTTGGCCACTCTGTAGCTCCAAACCTTTCCAGGTAGGACCTACCGCAGAGATTCGTCCATATGTAGCACTTCCCTGTGGGTCAGTCCATATGTGTATATCACACATGTACCTCCCTATGGGTAGGATGTGGCCTCTCTTTTCAACCGGACTAGGCACGCTTTCCCAGTGTGAAAAAAAACTTACATGGGGCATTGGGAATGTTACGGTTGGGCGAGGCCATTTTGTTACTGGCACGCTACAGCTTGTCAGCATCTGCTTTGCTGACACGTGTAACACAGTTCAGTAGTTGTGTCACTTTCTATAGGGACCTCTAATGTCAGCATCGACATAATGTCGAACGTGACTGATAGAGAGGGAACATCTCGGTTACTGTCTTAACCCTCATTCCCTGATGGAGGTAACAAAGGCATTATGTCCCTCCTACCACAACCTTGAACTACCTTCTGAATGGCCGGAACACCATCTCTGGGGGCCTTTTTTTGTAAAACACAGCTGTAATAGGGGCTCCCAAGTAAAAGACCCCTAATGTCAGTATCTCCATTCACTCCATCAAAGGAACGAGGGTTACGTTAGTAACCGAGTTTTTTTTTTTTTACACAAAAGCTATTGTATCGTTTTAGAAAATATGCACACCACTTTTAAAGTAAATTTTTGTCCTTTTGAGCTTGAATGTTGTAGTCTAATTTTGCAGTATGAGTCTTTAACTTATTTAAATTTTGGTTAACACTTTACAATAAGGTCTCATTTGTTAACATTAGTTAATGCATTATCTAACATGAACTAACAACTAACATGACCTTAAAAATCTAGTAGTAAATGTTGAGATTAACATTAAGTTTAATAAATGCTGTAGAAGTATTGTTCATTTTTAGTTAAAGTTAACTAATTCAGTTAATGTTAACAAATGAAACAAAACAACAACAACACTAAAACTATGCTGTGCGTGAGACAGAGTGGAACGCAGAAAATGAAGTATACCCATGCCTTTAGACAATTCAATAAACCAAACTTCTTTTGTGTACCATGGAAAAAGGAAAATAACATAGGTTTTGAACGATGAGTGGGTGAGTAGATGATGATCTAAATGATCCCTTTAGGCATAATTAGTGATGCAGCTAGAATTGTAATGCTCTAATTTAACACTTTATCTTTTTTTTAACTAGGTAATTTTGGACCTAATGCCATATGAGGGTATAGCAGTGAAGAGAGCTCTGAGCTCAGACAAACTTCTAATGGAGAAACTAGGGATTAATTCAGTTCCCTCAGCATACCTCTTCCACCCCAACGGCACACACACTGTGATGAATGTGTACGTCAACGACCTCTGCTAAATTCATTGTTGTCTACCAAATAGAAGCCCTGTATATGCACAGTTGATACGTTTTTGTTTGTGTTAACAGTCAGAAGAGGCTACGCTTTTTCTTCTCCTCCTTCCTAAAACTCCTCCCTGGAGTCCACAGGAAGCAGTCCACCTCATCCCTGCAGCGTCATCAGCCTGGAAATAATGGGCAGGGAACCCAGGTGGAGTGGAAAGAGTTTAAAAAGTGAGGTTTTTTTTAATATAGATACTACGGTTAAAAAAATTGGGGTCAGTAAGCTTTGTTTTTTTAATAAAAAAATTAAAGGATCCATTAAATGAATCAAAAGTAACAGTAAAGACATTTATAACATCACACAATATTTCTATTTTAAATCAGTGCTGTTTTGAACTTTCTGTTCATCAGAGAATCCTTAAAAACATATCACAGTTTCCACAAAAATATTAAACGACACATTCTCATCACTGATAATAAGAAATTGTTTCTTGAGCACCAAATCAAATTAGAATGATTTTTGAAGGATCATGTGACAGTAAAGACTAGAGTAATTGCTGCTGAAAATTCAGCTTTGATCACAGGAATAAATTACATTTTAAAATCTATTCAAACAGAAAACGGTTATTTTAAATTGTGATAATATTTCACAATAATACTGTTTTTACTGTATTTAAGTAAATGCAGAGTAGTTGAGCCTGAGAGACTTCCTTCAAAAACATTTTAAAATCTTACCGACCCCAAACTTTTGAACAGTAGTGTATATTTGCAGTAACATGTTAAGTAGTCCAAATGTCTGAAGTTTAACAGTTGAAATGAATGCCCACAAACTTTTCACTAGCTGTTGATTTAATTTTAAGTAAGACGAGGTAACCAGTATTAATGTTTCTTCAGGTCTAAGGTATACATGGCAGATCTGGAGTCTGGCTTACATTATCTACTGAGGGTTGAACTGGCCACCCACAAGACCTTAGAAGGAGAAGAACTAAAAACCTTCAAGGACTTTATAACAGTTGTTGCCAAGGTAGTGTTTTAACACAAACACAACTTTTTCTTTGCGCTTGAGCTTGAGCTTTCTTCTCACACTGAAATTGTTTTCATTAGAGCTTTAAAATTTACAGGGTTGTATCTTACTTGGCCCTTTTGATTTTAGCTATTTCCAGGTCGCCAGTCTGTGGTGAAACTTCTTGAGACGTTGTTAGAATGGCTAGTCAGTTTACCTTTGGAGAAGATCCCCTATGATGCTATTCTGGATCTAGTTAACAACAAAATGAGGGTAAGAGTGTCACCCATTAAACAACTTGTTCATTCACCACTGCTGCTCCTGCTATTAAAAGCTCCATATACCTCATAAAGTCTCTTTACCTGATGACATGTCATTTTTTTGTGTGTGACAGGAGCATAGATCAGTTTGTTGGTGGTTTTAAAGTGCTCTGTTTGTATTATTCTAAGATATCGGGCCTGTTCCTGAGTGAGCAAGTGCAGTGGGTTGGATGCCAGGGTAGTAGTGTGGCACTAAGAGGATATCCCTGCTCCCTCTGGACACTGTTTCACGTTTTGACTGTGCAAGCTGCCAACCGGCCCGACGCTCTAGCCAACACTGGTATGAGCAGGGAAATCCCTTCCTCTTAATCAACCAGAAACATATTTGAGATCTCATCAGTTGTAATTGTGATTGTAGATTACTAAATTGAAGCTACATTTTAAGTATACATTTTGCTGTGATATAAGCATATATATAATATGTCACTGTTTGGGCCAAGCAGAACAGTCATCTGGTAAAGTTTTCTATTAGTTCATGTTTCTACATTGCTAATTAATTTAAACCTACCTTCCTCTCAGGGTTTGAGGATGATCCTTTGGCAGTGCTTCAAACCATGCGGCGCTACATTGGGACCTTCTTTGGTTGCCAGGAGTGTGGGAAGCATTTTGAGGAGATGGCTCAGGAGTCTCTGAACCAGGTCAAGTCTGTTGATGAGGCAGTACTGTGGCTGTGGAGAAAGCACAACCAGGTTAATGCAAGACTGACAGGTAAGCCAGAAAGGTATTTAAAGTAAAATGACTGCATTACAAAATGTTGGTGCATTTAGGTTCTTGCTCCATCTCATGGGTGACATAGTATATACACTACTGATTAAAAAGTTACTTTACAAAAAGGTTTTTTTTTTTTAAGAAATGAATACTTTTGTTTAGCAAGGATGCATTCAATTGAATGAAAGTGACAGTAAAGACATAATGTTACAAAAGATTTCTGCATAAATACTGTACTGAAGGAAAAAGAGGAAAATGGGTAGGATTAAAGAAAGGACAATAGAGAGAACAAGAAAAAGAAGAAAGAAGAAACAGGGCAAGAAAGAAGAATGGATAAAAAGACAGGCAGAAAGAAAGGAACAAAATAAGACATGAATCGAGAAAGAAAGGAGGACTGGAAGAAAAGGAAAGAGACCAGAAAGGGGAAAGAAAGTAATACAGGAAAGGGAAGGGGAATACAGAATGAAATCAGGATTTGATGGAAAAGAACAGGAAGAAGGGAAATGAAATATATGTAGATAATAAAGACAGGAAGGAAGGATGAAAAAGAAGCACAGAAAGGAAGAGAGAATGATTAGGACTGGAAGGAAAAAGAACAAAAAGGAAGGAAGGAAAAAAGACATGAAGAGTGAAAGCATGACTGGAAGCAAGAAAAAGAGAAATGACGTGAAGGAAGAAAAAGCAAAGGGAATAGAAAGGAGGGAAGAAAGAAGGAAAGACGAGAAGAGAGTAGAACAGAAAGGAAAGAAAAGAGACAGAAAGGAAGAAAGGAAAAAGACAAACAAAAACACAAAGAAAGAAATAAGTACCGTGATGCAGGAATGAAAAATGGAAAGGAAGAAAGAAGAAAATTAGGACTGGATTGGGGAAAAAGAAAGAAAGAAAGAAAGGAAAAGGGAAGAAAGAGAAAAGACTGGAAGAAAGGCAAAATAAGAAAAATGACAAATTACATTAAATACTAGAAGGGAGGAATAAAAAGGATGGAAAGAAAAGAAAGAATGACTCATGAAACCACACGTCACCCTCATAGTAGATTGCACTCTTTATGCAGGCTCAATGAGCGAGGACCCCATGTTTCCTAAGACTCAGTGGCCTACTCCTGATCTCTGTCCCACATGCCATGAGGAGCAAGAAGGCCTTCATGTCTGGGATGAACAGATGGTCCTGGCTTTCCTCAAACAACACTACGGTGCTTCCAACATCTCCCCAAAATACTCCAGCAGCAGCCAACCAGAGCCAGGCCCTCCGGCTCTTGACAAACCCAAAGCCATAACCAAACCTAAAAGCAACGTTCACCTCAACCAGAACCTAAAACCTTCTCCTGAGAATATTCCTAAACATCAGAAGAGGACTGGCATTAATGGTGCGGAAGAGAAGCACTCTGGTGTCCAGATAGAAGCCAGACCAGGGATGACGTTCCTGGGTCTGGGATTCTCCAGCGTGGATATGAGTCTCTGCGTGCTGCTCTACGCCCTCTCCTGCGTCTTTCTCATGTTCATGTTCTTCTTCTTCCGCTTTCGCTCAAAGAGATGGAAAGGCAGAAACTACCGGCCTTATGTATAGTGGTGGAATACTGAAATGGAAAACTGTGAATAAGGTGCCTAGTGTTGAAGGAGACTTTTAATTTATTTGATTATTTTAATTTTTTGGGGGGTGGGGTGAGCGTTGTTGATGTTTTTATGATGTATTTTGTAATGAAGAGCTTGTCTAATGATTGATGAAAGCTCTGCTCAGGCCTAGTTGTGTTAGCAAGCACGTGTTAGCGAGGATTTCTCAACCCTAAACAGAGAGGATTATTTAACATGAGAAACTATTTTATTACAGTAAAAAGGAACAACCTAGGTCAAAATATATTTTTATGGAATATTCTACATTATTTATCTAGATTTTTATTGAAATAATATATCCTAAGTTAGTTTCTCATAGGGTATATATTGCTCTCTATGAATGTCACTCTGTCCCCATATTTCTAATTGATGGTCCAGAAACACTTGAGAAACTTGATTTATTCTGTCACTCAAGGTCGCTAGCTGAGAAGCCAGTGAAACATAACACTGCCTGTCAATGACCAGTGGAAAAACCCTCGGTTTTGTTACTCTCATGGTCCATTGAAATCTGTTAAATAGGCTGCTTGAACTCTGTTTTTTTTTTTAACTCTGCATGTGAAGTCACAAGAAGAGCTACTATTATTATTATTATTATTGACTTGAAAAGGTGGCTTAATTCCAATTTTTTAATTCCATTTTTTTTTTTAAATCTGGTTGGTTTATTGGTGTAACTCTGCAGCGAGGGATTTATAATATCAATTGAAACGGTTAAAACTTTTTTTTACTTTTCTGTAGATTGCAGAATTGAACCTTTGAACTGGAACTCTCGTTTAAAAAAAAACTGGTCCAAGACACTGTAACAATTAATGCATTTTGTTGTAGAGCTCCTAGAATATGTTGAACCCTAAGGGAAAAGATTATTATAATGTATTCATAAGATTCCTGATCACAGACCATTCATTGTTCAACATACAGTATCACTACAGCAGTACCTGGATTCAAAGTTCAGAATTAAAATGTGTTGATATTGTGAACTTGTTTTATTTTTTTTTAATCAGCATTTGACTGATTTGAGGTAATGTGTTCAGCTCATGATTTCGCTATCTATCGAAGCAGTGTTAATGGAGACCTGAGGCCAAATATTTATGAAGCATATTAAAAAATGTGGCTTCTGTGTTGTGACATTGTGCACATGGCCTTCTAAGCTGCTCCAAATGAATGGCTATTAATTACATTGTGTTTTACCATTATTATTTCAAGTTTTTTTATTACTTCCTGTACTTTTAAGAATTATATTTTTTATGTAAAGATTTTTTTTTTTTTTTTTTGGAGGGGAGGGGGGGGGGGGGGGGGGGGGGATATTCTGTATATATGTAGTTTTTCCTTACAGGGGAGTTGTATAAAGAAGTTGTCTTTCAAACAAAAATGTGTAATTCCTGAGTTCATAACTACAAACAATGCAACACAAACTTGTACGCATTTGATGTTTTTTTTTAGCCATGAATATTTTATATAGCACCATTATAATTTTCTGTTACATGGGGTGTAAAACATAGGGTGTAAAGGTTTCATTTTGAGATGCATTTTCTGAGCAGCAATTCTTAAATGATCATTTTTCAGGAGAACAGTTGAATGTGCCATTCTGAGAACACAGTGTAACTGCAACTTAAAGTCTAAGCACATTGACAGGTCATTCAAGTTTTCTATTGCTGTAAGTCTGTGTCTACCCTCTAGGAGGCAGTATGGAGTTTCCTTTCCCAACCAGCTCAGACTGCAGTCTGTTCTCCCCAGGGACATCATACATGTGACCATACTAACACTGTCCACTACTAGAGCTCCAGCTGTCAACTTAACAGATGTCTACACAGGCACTCTTGTTTCCAAATTTAAACTAACTATGTTCATCTCTTCAGACTGGAAGAGGACATTTTCGTCAATGACTGTGTGCATTTCACACTGGAAACAAAGTTTGAGGGCAGTTTCTTCAAGAGACAAGTTAATGTGTCACGTTTTGCTTTTTTCCTGGCTGACACAGTTTCACTGCTTTTAAAAAGACAAGACAGACAGCTAGAATCGAGATTTGCAGCATTCGCAGGGTGTGTGTCTGCCACACTTTATTGATTTATTATAATTTTTTGCTGTTGATATTAGACAGAAGACTGGAACACGGCAGTTTATCTCTGATAGCGCTGACTCACGATGTAGCCCGTCGGCGTCTCAGCATTAAAAGCCAGCAAATCAGAGACGGAAGCACAGCACCTTCTTCCCCACTTTGCTGAGAGACGCTGCTTTACTGCCCCACTGCTCTGTACTCAACTCTTACTCGCACAATACAGTCTATGAGCCATCCATCTAATATGTGCCACCTTAAAATGCTTCTCGGTTTGATGTACTGATCTGACATTCAGGGCAGCTTTGAGGCTGAGTCTATCTCTTTTCTTTCTCTTATCGGTTGAGTATCTGTCTGATGTCGTGTTGGCACATCTGATTGGGTATGCAGACTCTGTACTGAGCATGCCAGCCTGTGACAGGGACTGCAATGCAGAGCTGCTCTCCTGGCACACACCATTTGTCTGCCCTTAATGTAAATAATCCTGAGCACGGAGCCGCTCATGGCAGAGACGGCTTCTGATGGATTATGTGTCTGCACACGTTCGGGTTGGTGCATGCGGGGGTAAACGCTCCCGTTCTTGTCTTTTCTTCGTGTGGTGATGTTCAAATAAAAGTGAGCCATTGCTCTCTCTCTCTCTCTCTCTCTCTCTCTCTCTCTCTCTCTCTCTCTCTCTCTCTCTCTCTCTCTCTCTCTCTCTCTCTCTCTCTCTCTCTCTCTCTCTCTCATTCTGCCTTGCCTGTCTTTTGTCTCCATCGCACATGAACACGTTTACTCTCTGCAGGGCAGTTATCCGCATCAGGCTCTCTCTCTTTCTCTGTCTCTCGCTCGATCTCTCTCTCTCACTCTGTGTCCTTAAATGACTTTCCTCCAGTCTCACTCCCTCCCCCTCTCTCCCTAGTCTCTGTGTCTGTGCCTATAGCCTCTCTCCCCCTTTCTGTGACATACAGTAGATGGTGCATCGATTGCACACAGACGCTTGCTTTCCCTCTCTCTGATTCAGTCCTGTGCGAGGAGGAAGAGGACGGATTGAGACGTATCTCTCTGCTGCTCAAGCTACATTTCCTCATGCTGAGCTGCTGTGAGGAGCCTGCCCGCATTCTCTCTCTCTCATCTCGGAAGATTCTGCTATAGAGGTCAGGTAGTGGCGGGGTGGAGAGGGAGGGTGGGCGGGTGGGTTTGTGGGTCACTTTTCAGCTTCTTTTGAATACTCCAGGCAAGCTTATGCTGAGTTGCCAAACATGGAGACTCTAGTAATGTTGGGGTGAAGAGAGCTGTTTACCAAGGGAGTTGCTGTGCAGCATTTCTGTCGCATTTTTCTGCTGTGTCTGCACCAGATAAACATTGTGTGACTTTTGAATGTAGTAATTTTCTGTTTGTTACCTCATCAAGCCGGTCCACCTTCATTTTGACTTTTTTCTGTCTTAGATGTCTGGTGAAAACATCCTGTCTTTTCCAGAGATCTGAAACGGGCATGATGTCTCAACTCTTGCACATGGAGATTCCAAACTTTGGCAGCACTGTTCTGGACAGCCTGAACGAACAGCGGCTGCTGGGCCAACACTGCGATGTGGCCATTATGGTCAATGGACAGGCCTTCAAGGCCCATCGCGCCGTTTTAGCAGCCAGCAGCCTATACTTCCGTGATCTGTTCAGCGGTAGTGCCCAGACACTCTTTGAGTTGCCCTCATCTGTGGCCCCATCCTGCTTCCAGCAGATTCTGTCGTTCTGCTACACGGGCCGGATGACGGTGAGTGCCAGCGATCAGCTGATGGTCATGTACACCGCAGGCTACCTTCAAATCCAGAACATCGTGGAGCGGGGAATGGACCTCATGTTCAAGGCCAGTGCTCCGTACTGCGACTCACAGACATCTGCCACAGACGATCCCCCTAGCCCAAACAACAACAACTCCTCCCTGTTGCTAGGCGACCAGCCCACAACTCTCTGCAAGATCAAGGAAGAAAAGTTGGAGACCCCGGTATGTGCTCGGAATGGAGAGCTAAAGCACTCAGATGAGGATAGGGGACCTAGGGGCAGATCTTTAAGGAATGGGACACTTTTCTACACCAGTGGAGGTGTGAACGGGATCATACCCGTGATGCATGCTTACGAGCACTCGACCCGAGATCATGCCAGCCCCGGTGCTTCTAGCCTCCCGACCACAGACAGCCCAACTTCACACCAAAATGAGGAGGAGGACTTTGAAGACGACTCGTACGAAAGCCTGACAAACGGAAAGATCTTTGGGGGCTCGTCTGGGATCTATAGCAGTAAATGTCGTTTAATGGACTTCTCTTTCGCTCCGTTGCAGCTCAAGATTCATTCCTGTGAGTGTGATCTTTTGTGTCTGTTCCCAGTGCAAGAGAAGATGGAGGTGTCCTCCCTGCCTCTGTCCTTGGAGAACCGTTTCTGTGTGCTGTTGGGAGGAGACAGAGAGGCTCTGCCTGCCGGACTCATCAGCCAGATCGGCTACCGTTGCCATCCTGCTCTCTACACAGAGGGCGACCCTGGAGAGAGACTGGAGCTGATTGGAGGTGAGGCCTGAATAATACCAGCCTGTCTGAAACTCCATGTCCATCTGAATTATTTATCAGTTCAGACTGAGTCATTTGATTCACTGATTCAGAGCTAAGGTCTCCTTGTTTCTCTGTTGTTGGTGTTGTGAAAGGATCTGGTGTCTTCATGACTCGTGGACAGCTGATGAACTGTCACCTCTGTGCTGGGGTCAAGCACAAAGTCCTGCTGAGACGCCTTCTAGCTGCTTTTTTTGACAGGTCTGAAACATTACAAATGTGTAACAAGCATGTATGTGTATCTGTATAATGTCTGAAATACTAAGAGCTCAGTTCTGCAGTAAAAATAACCAAGCAGAGATGTCCTCATATTCAAATGTTTCAGTATATTGTTTTTGATAACTGTAGGGGCCGCATGGTGTTTTGGAAAATTTTTGTGTGTGTGCCCTCCAGTGGTTGACTATGGTATTTTGACTGCAGGAATACACTTGCTGACAGCTGTGGGACTGGAATACGTTCCTCCAACTGTGATCCAAATCGCAAACCACTGGACAGCCGCATACTCAACACAGTGAAACGTGAGTGATGTTAAAGCAAACAAAATTGACCATATTTAGTATGTGTGCCTGGTCTTAAGGTGATGATACACAGGGCAACTTTTTGAGCAATGCTGCTGAGCAATGTTGCCGTCAACGGGCAACCAGATGAGACACAGGGTCCATGACCGATCTAAATTATCCAGATAGAAATGTATTGCCCATTTTCAATGGGAAAGTGCCCAAGCAACAATCGCTCTGCAAGATTGCCCAGCAACATTGCTCAAAATGTTGCCCTGTGTATCATCACCTTCAGTGTGCATGATTCCATGGTTTACTTTGCTCCAAAAAAGCTTTGTTTTCATCTTTCATCAAATCTTTCCTTGCCTCCAATCTCCACTTTTCATGAACCAATCAGTTACACCTCACAAACTTTTCTACTGTTTCATTTGGAAATGTCACAATATGGAATTGAAATAGGTTTAATGCTGACTTGAAGCATTAATATTCCTGTTTTTTCTCTCTCTCCGTTTTGTAATTAGTCTACTGTCAGAACTTTGCCCCTAACTTCAAAGAAAGTGAGATGAATGTGATTGCCGCAGACATGTGCACCAATGCCCGGAGAGTTCGCAAGCGCTGGCTCCCCAAGATCAAGTCCATGCTTCCAGAGGCGATCGAGGTGTACAGGGGGACTGCGGTCCTCAGCCAGGTGGAAGGAGCCACCCATCCAGGCGGTGGCTTTCCCTTTGAGTCAGAGTTCAAACACCTGGCAGCGTCAAATCTGACTCTGGAGCAGCATCTCTATGGAGACTGCAGAGAGACACTGAGGAATGGCTCTCACTTCAATATGGAAGAGAGGTCCCAAAAAGGTGAAGCAGCCAAGACTGAGCCAGGCCGAGCCAAAGAGTCCGACAACCCGCAGGAAGTTGAAAGGCTTCCGGAGAGTCCCGAGAGAGCAGCCAGTGTGCTCGCTCTCAACCCAGCCAGCAAGAAAGGGGAAAAAGAGCGAGCATCCAGCAGCCCCAGATCACAAAAAGAGGAACAGAACAGACAGGGACCACTTAAAGAGGATCAGTGACTTCTTCTACTTCATACGATTTAAAAACTGGTCTGCAGCTTCTCACACCAAAAAGGATCACTATCAATAAAGGCAAATCTCCCATGCCACTGAACATTAAATTAAAGCTGCATGATCATGAAATCTGGACATATACATTTTTTTCTCCAGGATATATTGAAGAACGTCTGCATTAAATACAGTTATGCTCACAATTTTCCCTTCCCCTTGCAGAGTCTACAAAATGTTTTTTAATTTATTACTGTCCTTGTGAAGCTATTTGACATATATTTACATGTATTCCACAAGACAGATTAACTAAATAAACTGAAAAACAATAACTGATCTTATTCAAAAATTTACATACCCTTGGTTTTTAATATCATATATTGCCTCAAGCATCAATGAGTGTTTGTAGACTTTTGTGATAGTTGTGCATGAGTTTATGGTTTGTCCTGAGCAGTGAAACTGTTCCTTGACAAAGCCTCCAGGTCCTGTAAGTTATTTGGTTTCCCAGCATGCTCTGCACATTTGAGTTGTTCCCTGCAGTGGAACTATAATTTTGAGATCCAGTTTTGCCACTATGGACAATTTAGGGACTTGTGCAAAACTGTGATGCTTGAGGCAACACACAATATCAAGAATCAAAGGTATGTGAACGTCCGAATAGGATATTTTGTGTAATTTAAGTTATAATATTTTTCTTATAAAAACATAAATATGTGTTATGCAGCTTCTTCAGAGCAGTAAATTAAAAAAAAAAAATAGGATTTTATATCTTATTTTTCAAAAAAAGTATAAATGTCTGATTCCCCAAGGGGTTTGCAAACATCTGAGCATGACTGTATAAGAAATTGTAAGGTTCTTTCATGGAGCCACTTAGCATACGTAAATGCAGGCACATATTCAAGCTCAGTACATTAAGGCAATCGGCAGTGCGTTTTTTTATGAATGCATGTGATGCACAAGCTCTGGCATTTCTGACTAAATACTCTTGCCAATTACAGAAACAAATGGATTATGGACTTCTGCATGGCAAAAACAAGTGAAGGACAAAGGCTCTCCTTAATGTAACACAAATTACATGCTTCAGGAATCAACTATACTGCTTTAACTCCAGTCGGACAATGGGGTTGCTATGTACAAAGCTGACTGTGGGACTGCTGAGTTCAGTACAGTAAGGGAAGCTGAACAGAGAACAACAGTTCTCTAGAGAGTAGCCTGGACTCTCAGTTTTCCCTCTCAAGCTTTTTAATCTCTCTTGTTCTCAAGCTGCTGTATAGTAAATGCTTGCTTGTTTTTTTTTTTCCTGCATATCAGCTGGTCTGGACATTTGAAACACGATTGTATGATTGTTTTTGGAAGTGAAATAAAGGAAAGGATTATTTTGAGGGATAATTAGGTTATGCCTATTTGGTCACCATTATTGTTTGATAAAAAGGGCTTTTGCGTCATTACAGTGAAATTGATTTAATAGATAAAACATGAAAACATTAGCTCAGTTTTACTTGAATACAGAAAATACAATACATGTGAAATGTCTCAATGAGGTCTAGACATGCAGAGATAATTACATAATTAATTATGGTTCAAAGGATTATAATTTTCTTATCTAACATCTCATTTGCCTACCTGCAGTGCACAACTATCTCAAATGAATTTTGTTCATTTCCATACAGATAGATTTTCTTCCTTAAATACATGGACGAATCTCTGCATCTGTTCCCCCAGCAGGCAGTTTTGTCTCCTTTACCCTGCAAAAGAACAACATTGTTCATTTTCAGATATCATTGACTATGTTCTTTGAATTATTAAAAACAAAAAAACAAATTACAAAAAACTAAGATGGAACAGATTCAGCAGCTGTCCCAGACAATAACCTCTGATTTGGGAAAGGTAAACAGCATATTGTGCGATGTGTGGTGATTTTGTGATGGTCTTTATACATCACATTCTGATCCTTTTCCAGATGCCTCCAGATGTTCCAGAAATCACGAACAGCGCAACATTTCTCACAGTTTTTCAGCTGCTCGTTCTCTAGCCGAAAGAGATTCCAAATACAACGCCTGGTTGAACAGAAAGAAAGAATTAAGAAAAAGAATACAAGTACAATCTAATCCTGAATATTTTTCCTATGAGTCAGGAGCCACCGTTAAATTAAATTATAGCAAAATGTAATTTGCGCTAATCATCCTGGATTACAAGTTGCTTAGAGCGTGTGACTGAAATCGAACCTGAGGACTTCCAGTGGTGCCAGCAGGGCACTTGCAGTGGCAGCCGCAGATGAATCCTTCATCTGAGCCAGGAGGATATTTATAGCCCAGGAGACCCGCAACAGCACATCCGCCAGCATGGCTGCATAGTAGTACAACTGCAAGAGCACATCACTCAATAAGAGCAGTTGCAGGACAGTTTGACCCCTTACCCTCTAACAGAGATTCATTTAGTGGCACCTTTTCAGCCTAAAACTTCATGAGATGCCAGTGATAAAGGCTTTCACTGTCACCAAACAGACTAAATCATACACAACAAAATGTGACTTTGAGCTGTGATATGGTCAATTTGACCGAGTAATGCTTGAAATTAAATAGTGATAGCAGAAGGGTTTAGTATAGTATCACTACTGCTGAAAGTCAATAAGGACTGCTGTCTTAACAGGGTTGCCAGATCTGTTTAACAAAATCAGCCCTTTGGCCAATCAAAAAGCCCAATTAAACTATAGCCTAAAAAATAGCATTAATACCAAAACTCAAAATATGCCACTCCTATACTTCAAATATACTTTACAGTCACTGTTATACTTGGAAATCACTGTAGTACACTGTAAAACCTGATAAATTTAGAAAACTCAAAACATTTGTGGATGCTGATTAACTCAAAAACATTTAAGTAGCCTAAACTAACTCAAGTTTTTAAGTTAAATAACTCAAAGATTAAGGTAGCAGAACTTTATTTTTATTTTGTACTATACAAACATGTTAATTATAATTTAATTGAAAAATCTAACAAACTAACTCACAGTTTGTTTGCATAAATATCATGTTAACTAGCCTGTGCTAATGTAACTATCAAAGAGACTATCAATTGCATGTACAATCAACATGCAGTACATAACCTTAAAGTTTTGCAGCCAATTCTTGACCAAACCCAAAGGCTCTACTCTTCACCACAATGGTAAACCTACAAAACTTCAACATAACAGACATTCCTGTAAATCCCAACATAACAGAACATTAGGTCTGGGGCAGACCTGACCTGTTGAAAAGAGATGGTATTCATCCCTCCTGGGATGGTGCTGCTCTTCTCTCTAGTAATATGGCACATAGTCTTAGAGCTGAAACATGACAATCTGGGGCTCAGGTCAGGAAGCAGACAGACCGGCTAAACCGACCGTCTGCTAGCTGTCAACCGTCTGCTCTCAAGTCACCAAGGTCAGATAAATCCCTCTTTCACCTAGATATCATCACATAGAGACTGTGTCTGTTCCCTAAATTAGGAAATACAAAAAACGTCCAAACCCATCTAAGGTTAAAATTTTAATTGATGTTCAACAAATAAAAAACAGATTTAATACTAATGAACAAATGATAAAGCTTGGGTTGCTGAATATTCTATCCCTTATTTCAAAAGCACTTATTGTTAATGGTATGATTACAGACTATAACCTAGATGTGCTGTGTATGACAGAAACCTGGCTAAACCAAACGATTACATTACTTTAAATGAGTCCACCCCCAAGATTACTGTTATAAACATGAACCTCATCTGAAAGGCAAAGGGGGCGGTGTTGCTGTAATTTATAGTAATATTTTAAAAATTACTAAGAAGTCTAGTTTCAAATATAATTCTTTTGAAGTGTTGGTGCTTAATGTAACAATATATAGTGTAAATGATGAATCACTTTTGAGATTTGGGCTGGCTACTGTATACAGGCCACCAGGGCACCATACAGACTTTATCAAAGAATTTGCTGACTTTCTATCAGAATTAGTACTGGCTGCAGATAAAGTCCCAATTGTTGGTGATTTTAATATACATGTAGATAATGAAAAAGATGCATTGGGATTGGCATTTAAAGATATTCTTAACTCTATTGGAGTTAGACAACACGTGTGGGGACCTACTCATTGTCGTAATCATACTCTAGATCTAATATTATCACATGGAATCAATGTTGATGCTATTGAAATTCTGCAGCAGAGCGATGACATCTCAGATCATTATCTAGTTTCGTGTAAACTTCATTTAGCCAAGGCTGCAAAACCGACTCCGTCTTACAAATATGTTAGACCTATCACTTCTGCCACTAAAGATTGCTTTATCAATAATCTTCCTGATCAGTTTCATCATCTCAGCATCCTAGATAGCTTAGAATAACTCGATATTGCGACAGAAACTTTTAACCCTCTCTTTTCCAGCACTTTAGACACAGTTGCTCCGTTGCACTTAAAGAAGATTAAAGAAAATAGTCCAACACCGTGGTACAATGAGCACACTCAGGCCCTTAAGAGAGCAGCCAGAAAAATGGAGCGAAACTGGAAGAAAACTAAACTCGAGGTATTTCGCATTTCATGGAAGGAGAGCTCGATTGCATATAGAGAGGCCGTAAAAGCTGCTAGATCTGCTTATTTTTCAACCCTATTAGAAGAAAATAAACAAAACCCTAGGTATTTATTTGAAACAGTTGCTAAACTAACGAAAAAAAAAGCTTCAAGCCCAGAAGTTTCCAAGCAGCACAACAGTAATGTCTTTATGACCTTCTTCTCTTACAAGATTGATAATATCAGGGAGAAAATTATAACTATGCAACCGTCTACTATAGAATCGCATCAGGGAGTGCATTGTAGTCTACCCAAGGAAAATTTTGATTCATTCATTGCTATAGAAGAGGAAGAATTTTCTAATCTCGTTAAATCATCTAAATCGACAACATGTATGTTAGACCCTATACCGACTAAGCTATTGAAAGAGATACTTCCAGAGGTCATAGATCCTCTTCTCAATATCATTAATTCATCTTTGTCACTAGGATACGTACCAAAAACTTTTAAGCTGGCTGTGATTAAACCACTTGTTAAAAAAAACGCAACTTGATCATACAGAATTGAATCAATTAGATCTCAAATCTACCTTTTCTGTCAAAGATACTAGAAAAGGTAGTATCTTCACAACTATGTTCCTATGTTACTATGTTTAGAAAAAAAATGATATCTGCGAGGATTTTCAGTCAGGATTTAGACCGTACCATAGTACTGAGACAGCTCTCATCAGAGTCACAAATGATTTGCTCTCGCTATTGGTGTTACTCGATCTTAATGCTGCATTTGATACTATTGACCACAACATTCTTTTAAATAGACTCGAAAATTATGTTGGCATTAGTGGAGTTGCATTAGCATGGTTTAAATCATACTTATCTGACCGTTATCAGTTTGTAGCAGTAAATGAAGAGATGTCTTATCGATCACAAGTTCAGTATGGTGTACCACAAGGCTCAGTACTAGGACCGTTGCTGTTCACTCTGTACATGCTACCCTTAGGAGATATCATTAGGAAGCATGGCATTAGTTTTCACTGTTATACTGATGATACTCAGCTCTATATTTCTTCACGCCCTGAAGAAACTTACCAATTCACAAAATTAACAGAATGCATAGCTGATATAAAAAAGTGAATGACTAGTAATTTCCTACTTAATTCTGAAAAAACAGAGATTCTAATTATTGGACAAAAAACTTCCTCATGTAATAACCTAGAAAACTGTCTAACACTTGATGGCTGCTCTGTCAAGTCTTCGTCGTCGGTTAGGAACCTGGGTGTGCTCTTTGATAGCAATCTTTCATTGAAAGTCACGTGAATAGTATCTGTAAAACCGCATTTTTCCATCTTAAAAATATATCTAAATTACGTCATATGCTCTCATTGAAGAATGTGGAACAATTAGTTCATGCTTTCATGACATCAAGGCTAGATTATTGTAATGCTCTACTGGGTGGTTGCCCTGCACGCTTAATAAACTAATTACAGCTGGTCCAAAACGCAGCAGCTAGAGTTCCTACCAGAACCAGGAAGTATGACCATATTAGCCCGGTTCTGTCAACACTGCACTGGCTCCCTATTAAACATCATATAAATGTTAAAATATTACTAATTACTTACAAAGCACTAAATGGTTTTGCTCCCCAGTACTTGAGCGAGCTCTTATAGTCCTTCACGTCTATTGCATTATAGTCCTTCACGTCTATTGCGATCTCAAAATTCCGGCCAGTTGATAATACCTAGAATATCAAAATCGACTGCTGGCGGTAGATCCTTTTCCTGTTTAGCACCAAAACTTTGGAACAGTCTTCCTAACATTGTCCGGGAAGCAGACACACTCTGTCCGTTCAAAGCTAGACTAAAAACACATCTATTTGACCTTGCATACACATAACAAACTATAGACTTCTATAATTCAATGTTAGGCTGCATAGATTAGGTCAGCCGGAACCGGGAACACTTCCCATACATCCTGATGTACTCGTTACATCATAAGAAGAATGGCATCTACGCTAATATTAGTCTCTCTGTTTATCCCGAGGTTTACCACAGTCAGCCGGATCCAGGCCGTATCCAGATCTGATGAAGGACCTGCGCCTGGACGCGACAACAACACAGTCCTGAAGTGTCACTAGTCCCTCCATGTGAAGGCCTCCTTCCCTTTACCTCTGTACAGATAATCGTTGTCGGGATAATTCTGGTTCACGTGGTACGCCAAAGCGATACAATTCTGTATTATAAATTTTAAGGCCAGACAAGTAGTTTGTTGAGGGTTGGTTTTTAGGGAAGAACTACATGCCTGCTCACATATATTCAAACGCGCATACCTATATAATGAACTCTTAATAAGCATGCGCATTTCATCAGCGTTCTCACAGGTTCGCGCTTTTAAAGTTTGCGTAGAGAGAATTTAAGAGTTTTCTGTTAGAACGGTGTCGTGTCATCGGCCCCTAAATTAATAACTAATGATCGTTGCAACGGAAGTGAATCAATTAAAACTAACTTTAGCTGGAAAATAACTTTATTCTAGAGCTGCCAGAAAGCCAAAAGAATCTCTGTTACTTTAATTTCCTATTATCACTGTAAAGCAGCTTTGGAACAATCTACATTGTTAAAATCGTTATATAAATGAAGATGACTTGACTTGACTTGACATTAAACACTAACACATCTCTCCCCATATTAATCTTGTGCAAAACCACAAAATAACACTTAATTTCAACATGTATTATCCTTATACAGTCTGATGCAAAGCACGTACTACTAGTCAAGTTCACGTAATTTTAAATAATATTTTAGTGAAATTAACTTATTTCCTTGAATTAATTTAAACTGTTCAGTTTTACAGTAGTAAAATGACAATTTTACCTTAAGAATGACAGTTGGTGAACAAAATCCTTCACTGGGGTGGTGATCCTATATTTTATACCTATCTGAAAGTTACTATTTACAGTTTACAATTTAAAATAAACATTTCAAGATATTCCTAATAGGTTTTCAATCGATGGAAAATGCTTGATACTTTTTTTTTGTTCTTGCCAATATGTCACCATGGAAACAAAACAGCCCGCACAAAGGCGTAGCAGTGCCCCTCCCTCACAAAATTCTCCTAACTCTGTCTCATCATCTACCACAGATTTATCATTGTTAGAATATAAATATGAAAGAGTAAAACATTTCGGCTGTTGTTCCGCTGAAGTCCGTTTAGT